CAGACTGAACCAGGACTAACCCAGGACTGAACCAGGACTAACCCAGGACTAACCCAGGACTAACCCAGGACTAACCCAGGACAGGACTGAACCAGGACTGAACCAGGACTGAACCAGGTGACTGAACCAGGACTGAACCAGGACTAACCCAGGACTGAACCAGGACTGAACCAGGACTGAACCAGGACTGAAACCAGGACTGAACCAGGACTGAACCAGGACTGAGGACTAACCCAGGACTAACCAGGACTAACCAGGACTGAACCAGGACTAGGACTGAACCAGGACTAACCAGGACTGAACCAGGACTAACCCAGGACTGAACCAGGACTGAACCAGGACTGAACCGGGACTGAACCAGGAAACCAGGACTGAACCAGGACTAGACTAACCCAGGACTGAACCAGGACTGAACCAGGACTAACCAGGACTAACCCAGGACTGAACCCAGGACTGAACCAGGACTGAACCAGAACTGAACCCAGGACTGAACCAGGACCAGGACTAACCCAGGACTAATTCTAGGACTGAACCAGGATTGAACCAGGACTGATTCCAGGACTGATTCCAGGACTGATTTCCAGGACTGAACCGGGACTATACTAGACAGTCTTGAAGGCGCATGGACTTAGTCTTGTCTCGGTCTTGAAGACGCCTGGACTCGGTCTTGTCTCGGTCTTGAAGGCACTTGGTTTCGATCTTGTCTTGGTCTTGAAGGAGCTTGGACTCGGTCTTGTCTCGGTCTTGAAGGTGCTTGGACTCGGTCTTGTCTCGGTCTTGAAGGCGCTTGGACTCGGTCTTGTCTCGGTCTTGAAGATGCTTGGACTCGGTCTTGTCTCGGTCTTGAAGGCGCTTGGACTCGGTCTTGTCTCGGTCTTGTCTCGGTCTTGTCTCGGTCTTGTCTCGGTCTTGAAGGCGCTTGGACTTGGTCTTGTCTCGGTCTTGAAGGAGCTTGGACTCGGTCTTGTCTCGGTCTTGAAGGTGCTTGGAAAGGTGCTTGGACTCGGTCTTGTCTCGGTCTTGAAGGTGCTTGGACTTGGTCTTGTCTCGGTCTTGAAGGAGCTTGGACTCGGCTGCATTGTGTAATACATTTTTCTGGTGGAGCATCCGTCAAATACTTTTCTAAACCAAGACCCAGTTACAGGTCAGATCTGCGCAGAGGCGACCCCGCTCACAGTCACAATTCACATTTTTTTCTAGGCGTTTTTGAGCTGCACAACCACTTGTGATTGAATAAACGTAAAGTAGAGCTGTTTAAAGCCACACTGCGGAACATTCCGGGCAGAGCAACGACGTATCCGCGCTGCAGAAACAAGAAAGCGACGGTCCCGCAACCAAAAAAGTTACGCGGTGCGGCTTTAACGTGTGGGAAATGAATCCGTGTATCATTCGTTCATTCGTTTTTCAATATAAAACCAAAAATAAGAAAACGAAAAAACAACAGTTTTCTTCGTTATTTGTCTCCAAAACCAAAATGAAAAAACGGATAACGATTCGTTTTTTCAGTTTTCGATTTTGTGTTTAAATGAAGAATGGAAAAAACGGATAACGGCCGTTTCCCGTTTACGTGACTTCCGTGACTGCGATGCCGGACTTTTGCACCGGGTACGGACTGAACCGGGACTGATCCAGGTCCGAGACCAGAGCGGGACTGAGACCGGGACCAGACCGGGACCAGAGCGGGCCTGAGACCGAGACCGAGACAAGACCAGAACCAGACCGGGACCAGACCGGAGGCTTGGACCCCGTGGAGGCCCGGAGTCAAAGCTCGGAGTCCGCCCTGGTCCCGGTCTGGTCCCGCTCTGGTCCCGGTCTGGTCCCGGTCTCAGTCCCGCTCTGGTCTCGGTCTGGTCTCGGACCTGGATCAGTCCCGGTTCAGTCCGTACCCGGTGCAAAAGTCCGGCATCGCAGTCACAGAAGTCACGTAAACGGGAAACGGCCGTTATCCGTTTTTTCCATTCTTCATTTAAACACAAAATCGAAAACTGAAAAAACGAATCGTTTATCCGTTTTTTCCATTCTTCATTTAAACACAAAATCGAAAAACTGAAAAAACGAATCGTTATCCGTTTTTTCATTTTGGTTTTGGAGACAAATAGTGAAGAAAACTGTTGTTTTTTTCGTTTTCTTATTTTTGGTTTTATATTGAGAAACGAATGAACGAATGATACACGGATTGAAATGCGTCGGTAACATTGTTTTTGTCCCGACTCCGCTCTTAGGAAAGTGAATAAAAAATAAAATAAAATAAAATCTTTCTTTCTACCTGCGATCCCATCTTCCGTGAAAACCGCATTACAATATTATCTTTTAATTAGGTTCCCGGCAGCTCCCGTCCGTCTCGCTCTTCCGCAGATAACACAGGAGTCGGTGAAGCGCGCGGCGTTCGGAGTCTGGGGTAATTAAGCACGGGCCAATAACGAGGAGCCGGTCTCTCATTAACGCGTTACAGTCGGAGCTTCCTTTTGCACACGGCACACTCCACTGGCTCTCCTCCCCGCGGATCTGACTCTCTCTCTCTCTCTGTCTCTCTCTCCCAAAGCCGCGAGCGTCTGGAGGAGACGAGGACCAAAGGACGAAGGTTTAAAAATGTGGATGGAAACGCAGAGGGTTTTTTTTTTTTTAGAAACGGTTTATACTCGTGACAGCCGAGGTTTTACAAGGTAGACCTGGTTTAGTCCTGGTTTAGTCCTGGTTTAGTCCTGGTTTAGTCCTGGTTTAGTCCTGGTTTAGTCCTGGTTTAGACCTGGTTTAGACCTGGTTTAGTTCTGGTTTAGTCCTGGTTTAGACCTGGTTTAGACCTGGTTTAGTCCTGTTGTAGTACTTGCTTTAGACCTAGTTTAGACCTAGTTTAGACCTGGTTCAGACCTGGTTTAGACCTGGTTTAGACCTGGTTTAGACCTGGTTTAGACCTGTTGTTGTACTCGCTTTTGACCTGGTTTAGACCTGGTTTAGTCTAGTTTTAGTCCTGGTTTAGTCCTGCTGTAGTACCTGCTTTAGACCCGATTTAGACCTGCTTTAGACCTGGTTTAGACCTGGTTTAAACCTGGTTTAGACCTGGTTTAGACCTGGTTTAAACCTGGTTTAGACCTGGTTTAGACCTGCTTTAGACCTGGTTTAGACCTGGTTTAAACCTGGTTTAGACCTGGTTTAGTCCTGGTTTAGTCCTGGTTTAGACCTGGTTTAGTCCTGGTTTAGACCTGCTTTAGTCTAGGTTTCGACCTGGTTTAGTCTAGTTTTAGTCCTGGTCTAAACCTGATTTTTTTCTGGATGTAGTACACACTTTAGACCCACTTTATTCCCGTTTTTTATCTGGTTTTTATCCTGTTTAGCCCTGGTTTAGTCCTGCTGTAGTACCCGGTTTAGACCCAGTTTAGACCCAGTTTAGACCCAGTTTAGACCCAGTTTAGACCCGGTTTAGACCCAGTTTAGACCCAGTTTAGACCCAGTTTAGACCCCGGTTTAGACCCAGTTTCGACCTGGTTTTGACCTGGTTTAGTCTAGTTTTTGTCCTGGTTTCTCACCTTGACAGTGCGCGGCCTCTTACACATGATTAAATGTGAGGTAGGGGTGTTTAATGTCACACTGTGGAACCTTCCAGGCAGTGACATAAACCGTCTCGCACCGTCTCCCTCAGTGGCCTCCCCACAGAGCCTCTCCGCGGGGCACAGACGACCTGGGCCAATCCCCGTCCCCCCCGAGCGGAGACCGGCCTTGGGCAGACACAGTTTTTCAAATCCTGCCTGAGAGCCTCCCTGACCCGGACAGATCAGACTCACAAATCTACAGACCGCGGGGCAGGTGTCCAGACCCGACCCTGGCCCCCGTCACACCACCACTTAACCGAGGGGTAAACTGAGGACTGGGGGTTGGTGTATCTGTGACTCTGAGCCCGCCCTCCCATGATGCATTTGGAGAAGATGGTTTGGACCTACTGTCTATGGTTTGGACTCAAGTTGCTGTTCTCACCAGAGGGTCCACCTCCTTCCTGAGGTCTCGGTTCGCTTGATTTAGTGCAGATCCAAGTGTGACTGAAGCTTTCACACCAACGAAAACCAACCCAACTAAGGCTGCGTTCAGACTGCAGCCTGAAGTGACTCAATTTTTTTTTTTGGCCTCTATGTTCCTGTATCTGATCTTTTAATGACAGTCTGAACCACACAGATCCGATTTTTTCAAATGTGACCCAGGACACTTGGATATGTGCTCCTGAAACTGATACATATCTGATCTTTTGACATGTGACTTCAGTGTGAACGGCCAAAGTGCATTCATCCACCTACACGTCATCAACAAGACACAAACGTCACTATTCTGCACTGAAGTAGGCAAAAATTGTTAATGAACTCTGTGTGACTGAAGTGAAGCACATCTCCACTCACCACTCTTGGCTCCGTCTCCACATCCACACGTTCCTTTCAACGGACTGAACCACAAAACACCACGACCAAAAACCTCGTCCTTCTCCTTCTCAATCTCCTCCTTAAAACAAGTCAGTTGTTCATGTTCTGGCTCCGGTACGAGAGGAACTTTAAAATCTCCAGGTGCTCGATGCTGCGTCCATGTTTGGACAACTTCTGTAAACACAGAGACGCTCGCTGCGGTTGACGTCGTCGTGTCTCCAGTGACGTCATCGTGTCTCCAGTGCACATGTGGGACACTTTCAGGCCGTTTAACGTTCACACTGGAGTCACATACAAGTCACATTTAACTGGAAATGTGAACGACCTCGAAAAAACATCGTATTTCACAAAAAAATCGGAATTGAGCGTTAAACCCTGCAGTCTGAACGTAGTCTAAGAGCTTCTGGGTCCAGTGGAACGTTCGCAGACCAACTGCTGCCGATGTGAAAGCACCCCAAGTCTGAGGTCCTGACTCGTCTCGGTCTGAGGTCCTGACTCGTCTGAGTCTGAGGTCCTCACCTGTCTCACCTGTCTCAGTTTGAGGTCCTCACCTGTCTCAGTTTGAGGTCCTCACCTGTCTCAGTTTGAGGTCCTCACCTGTCTGAGTCTGAGGTAGAAGTCCTCGCTGAAGCTCTTTCGGCTGAAGTACCAGAACCTCTCGTTTGTGGGATAAACTCGGACCAGAGTCTCCAGCAGGAACCGAACGGGCTCCACCACCTCCGTCACCACCAGGTCCACAGCTACAGTCAGGTACACCTGTTTATCTGAAACACAACGACAAATACACCTGTTTATCTGAAACACAACGACAAATACACCTGTTTATCTGAAACACAACGACAAATACACCTGTTTATCTGAAACACAACTACACAAACACAACGACAAATACACCTGTTTATCTGAAACACAACGACAAATACACCTGTTTATCTGAAACACAACGACAAATACACAAACTGTTTATCTGAACACACAAATACACCTGTTTATCTGAAACACAACGACAAATACACCTGTTTATCTGAAACACAACGACAAATACACCTGTTTATCTGAAACACAACGACAAATACACCTGTTTATCTGAAACACAACGACAAATACACCTGTTTATCTGAAACACAACGACAAATACACCTGTTTATCTGAAACACAACGACTGAAACACAACGACAAATACACCTGTTTATCTGAAACACAGGGAGAAATACTAAACATGTCTTGTTTTTTTACATTTTCTTTTTGTTACTTTTGTTGTTTTACGTCTGTCATCTGAGGAAGAGAAGAGAAAAGTGTCGGAGAAGGAGGAAGAAGACAAACTACCTCAGTCCACTCCCACATCCCGCTCACAAATACAAAGAGACGTGGATGAAAGTCCGAAGCCAGGACTGGTGGAGCCGGATCGAAGGACGACACAACGAGCATGAACTGAACCATCGACATTATTTTTAAGAAGAATAAATGTTTACTAGTCAGGCTGGTGCCACCTAGTGCCTCTCAACTTCATTTCTCTCCAGCGACTAGGTCAGGAATCAAAATACACGAGACGGTTTGCAAGAATCCTGGAAGTTGTTGACTGTGCACCAGCCAATCAGCGAAGATCTGTGAAGCCAGGACCTCAAACTTTAGTGGAACAGCACAACAGTAAACAAAGCGGTCGAGATGGATGTAGATGAAGACAAACATTAGATTCCCGAATGTAAAACCGGAACAAAGAGAATGTTTGGTGAGTTTTATCAAGGGGAAAGACGTTATTGTTGTTCTTCCTACGGGATTTGGAGCTTTACAAATGTCACAACCAAACAGCAGCGATTGGTTAAATAAAAAAGTACCCGCCTACTGTCGAGCGAAGGAATCCTAATGCTGTGAGGTCACACGGTTTCCACCAAGTGAATTCGAATGATGAATCAGACTAAACGTTTACGCCAGGCATGTCCAAACTATGGCCCGGGGGCCAAATGCGGCCCTCAGACACATTCTTCTTGGCCCTCAGACTTCCAGGTGATTTGGCCCAAATTACCTTACATCAATTAAAAAAATATTTTTTTACTGCAAGTTTTTTGAAGTGTGTGGTTTTAAGGATCTTAGCAGGAATAAAGACTGATGGTTCATTGTAACGTGTTAATCATGCACATATTTCAACTATTCACTGTACTGAGCACCAGTCTACGGCTCTTGATCGTCCTTCTGCTTTGTCTGTGTTTAGATATGTGGTCCTTGATGAAAAAAGTTTGGACACCCCTGGTTTACGCGATCCAGGTTTAAGTTTAATTCCGAATAATCATTTTCATTAGGAAAGAAGTGTTTAGATGGTCTTTTTAAAGCAGAATTAATTTTTATTCAGAGTGTGGATTTACCACCAAATCAAAACAAGTCCATATGAAAACAGACGTCACAGAGAGAAAAATAACAATCATGGCTCACATCATCAACACCAGTGAACGTTTGTACTTGTACAAGTCATTATTTATGTGCACCGAGCTCTGCTACAACATGGATCTGCTGTGGAGAAGGCAACAGCGATGCCAAATACAAAGATGTAAGGTTATCAGGCGAACATGGACTTAAAACTTTTAATTTCATATGTGATAGTTTCAGTTGCTCTTTGTTTGTTTATTTTACTGTGTGTGACCCGGATGAACGTGCTGACGTCTTCTGTGTCGTCACGGTTCGCTTAGAAAAAACAAGTTTTACTTTGTTCCCATTGGGAACCAACTTTCCGGTTCCTGAACGTCTGATTTCCGGCGTGAACACTTGAGTCGGTTCAAGATTCGTCGCGGGAACTGGAAGCGGCATGGTTCTCTGTCGGTCTGAAAACGCCTACTGTGCAACATTCCAGGCAAAGAGGTGACATCCACCAGAAATGTTACACAATGCACCTTTAAACAAAACATCTGGAATAATCAGGAGGGGCGTGGTTAGCATGCAAAAGTGCTTATAAACTCGTTGCATTGAATAATTTGGATGATTTTAAAGCATAAGTCGATAAAAAGAGGAGCATTAGTTTCGGCGGCGTTCTTAAAGAGCGTGGAAATGTGGAGTTTTAAGAGCGAGAGTGAAACGAGCGACTTTATTTCTGCATTAAAACAAAAGCTGTTGTTGGGGCCTCGAGGGGTCAGGCCGCGGCGAAGTAAGAGTGTTTAATAATAACAGACGGGGTGGAGGTTATTACACTGTTTTCAGCACAAACTCAATAATGTGCGACGGCGACGCGAGCGGCTCCGAGACCCCGCCGCCCCGCCGCATTACCGTTTCCAGGCTCGGAGTGTGAAAATACGCCGCGCGCTGACAGGCCGGGGTCGGGGGTCACGGCGCGCGGAGAGACGGGGGGGCGGGAAAATGGATGAATCCAATTATCACGTCCGGGCGGCGAGCCGGCGGCGCGCAAACCCCCCGGCGCGACCTTGGGCGGCGGCGGTTCCCTCGGCTCGTTTGTCACGCCGGCGGGAGGAGAAAATCCAAGTGCAAAACGCTTTTTTTACACGTTCAAATTGCCTCGTTTCTGTAAGTGAATTAAACCAGAGTCGGTTCTGTTCCGAGTTCAAAATAAAATCTAGTTTGCGATTCGGAAAAGAAAAGCCACGTCCTGAAGGTGTTTCAAACTTTAAAGTGCCCATAAACAGATTACATGTACCAGAGTAATCAGAGTACAAATTATGAGTAACTGTATTCAGTTACAGTTACTGTTTCAGTGAGTAGTGAGTGGATTACAGTTACTTTGTTGAAATAAATGGATTACACAGAGGTAATTTTCAGTTTTCACATTTTGGGCTAAACCAGGACTAAACCAGAACTAAATTAGGACTAAACCAGAACTAAACCAGAACTAAACCAGGACTAAACTAGGACTAAACCAGAACTAAACCAGGACTAAACGAGAACTAAACTAGGACTAAACTAGGACTAAAACCAAAACTAAACTAGGACTAAATTAGGACTAAACTAGAACTAAACCAGGACTAAAACCAAAAATAAACTAGGACTAAAACCAAAACTAAACCAGGACCTAAACCAGAACTAAACTAGGACTAAACCAGGACTAAAACCAGAACTAAACTAGGACTAAATTAGGACTAAACTAGAACTAAACTAGAACTAAACCAGGACTAAAACCAGAACTAAACTAGAACTAAACTAGGACTAAACCAGAAAAACTAAACTAGGACTAAACCAGGACTAAACTAAAAAGCATGACAATATCAAGTAATCCAAAGTATTCAGATTACAATACTCAAGTAAGTAATTTCATGGATTCCGTAACAAACTACATTTTATATCCATATTTTAAAAAAATTTAAATAAATATACTTATTTATATAAAAATTGTTTCAAAATAAACTTTAAGATTTAATAATTTCAACTCGATGATATAAATTTGGAGATTGAATTGAAATCGTGATCAAAATTTAATTAATTGCACAGCCTTAGTTCTAATGCTGTTTCCTCATCACATCTGCCACGTTTACATGAATAAATCTAAAAATTTATTCCACTTTTAACAGACCACGAAAACACAAAGTGATAATTCGTAATTAAACATCATTTCGAAGTAGGTGGGTGGTTTATTCTGATTTTAAACCTGAATTAATTTGTGTCTCGATCATGTAAATGTTTATTCCTTTTAAGAACATGACTGTGAATAAAACTGAATATCTCAGATTTAAATTTGTTCTTATTAGAAATCACAGTTTGGTACATACAGTACGTTGGTTTTGAGGTCACGGTTCAGTTTCTTTTCGGTTCAGTTTGGGAACAAAATGCAAAACCATTTGTGTGTTTATTAAACCAACAATTAGTTTTAAGATTATACAAACTGGAAAATAAAATAAATGCAAAGTGCAGCTTGGTAACATTAATAAGTTATAATGAATCAACCAATGTGTTATTTATAAACCTTCAAAAATTGTATGATTTAGTCGACCTTTATAATCTGAAAATCATGTTCAAAGTAAACAAAAATCTCCTGTCATAATCTTTACAGAACATGTTCAAAATCTGAAAGAGCCGATACGAGCTCAGAGGTGCGGCCGTGTTTGTCAAAAAGAAAATCAGAACAAACATTATGAAATTGTGTAAATCTGTTAAAGGGCTGGAGCTGTGGAACAACTGTACAGAAAACCTAAAACTGTGCTCCAGTCTCTTTCACTTTATAAAGAAGTTTAAATGTTTAACTCTGGACAGACACATGAATTATGAGACTTAGTTTGTGCTGTAGAACTTTGTTGTTCTGTTTCTATGGAGTAAGAAAGCTGTCAAAAATATTTGTGCGCGTAAAATACAAATCCGTGCGTATTTGGGAAATCCGTGCATATTTGGCTGTAGTTGCGCATAAAATAAATATTTGTAAACTCTCAAATGAGTCCAGTCGTACATAAAATATATTGTGTGTATTTTATCCATCAGAATACGAATTGAAAAATTACGACGTCATGAATTACAATCACGAAATGAAAATTTACGATTACGCTTTCATCAGTACGAATACGAATTCACAGACGGAACTTTACTGTCAAAAATACATCATCACTTCACAGACATTATCATCGAGCAGAAGAAACATCGATCAAGATCAAGACTGTGCAGCTCAAGTTTGTAGCAGAGTAAAAACAGAGTAAAAGCACAAGAAGCTACAACAGCGACCAACAAGTGGGTTAATTAAAATCTATTGTAAAAATGTCTTGAATTCGGGAACCGAACGCTGCTGTATAATATTGTGTAGAAACACCTCCTTTGAACGGGAAATTGCACCTATATGTTAGAAAACATAGTGGAGCCAGTTGGCCAACATCCGACGTAACGTTATCCCAGGGCTAATTAACAAATATCAGGTTCTCTGTATGTTTAGATTAAAACATTCACGGCTACAGCCACTCTGTTTTTACCCTCTGCTACAAACTTGAGCTGCACAGTCTTGATCTTGATCGATGTTTCTTCTGCTCGATGGAATAATGTCTGTGAAGTGATGACGTATTTTTGACAGTAAAGTTCCGTCTGTGAATTCGTATTCGTACTGATGAAAGCGTAATCGTAAATTTTCATTTCGTGATTGTAATTCATGACGTCGTAATTTTTCAATTCGTATTCTGATGGATAAAATACACACAATATATTTTATGTACGACTGGACTCATTTGAGAGTTTACAAATATTTATTTTATGCGCAACTACAGCCAAATACGCACGGATTTCTATTTTACGCGCACGAATATTTTTGACAGCTTTCTTACTCCATATGTTTCTGATTTGTTTGTTTCCTCTCGCTGTATTTATGAAGATGAACTGGGGTTAAGATGAAGCTCTGACAAAGGAATAAAGGGTAAAGGCAGAATAAACTCAAGCTTCAGCTGACAACTTTTCGGTCTGTGTATGTTAAATATGAATGTCTGTGAATTAATGTCAAAATATACCTATGACCCAAATAAATACATAAATAAATAAATAAATAAGTTCAATAAAATATTCTTAAATAAGCAACAAATGTTTGAAATATTATAAAAAATAAATTCCTTGTAAACGGTAAACAAAACTTTTCAAAAACTTAAGTGCAGCACAAACAGTTCCAGCATGAAATTTTACTCAAGTTTAGATTTTTGTCTAGAAAAAAACAGCTCCTCCGTGTCTGCGGTAAATGTAGATCTGCTGGGAGGAGGGGGCGGAGTTTTTGTGCCGGCGAAAGGTGAACGTGAAGACCGTGGTGCAACGATCGTAGTTTTGCGAGGATTCACGTGGTTCGGAGGGATGCGGTCAAGTTGGGGGGCATTTGTTGTGAAGGCGTCCGCTCTAACTATAAAGCGCCGCGGGAAACACTGTCGCCCCGATCACGGACAAATTCCCTCGTGAATATTAAAGAGCCGAGCCTCCGTGTCGCTGCACATGTAGTGGAGGAATGAAAACACACACAAACTGCACGAACTCACTCGAGCGCGACCCTACACCCAACCAAACATTCCATACCGACACAAATACATGCACCGTCACACTCCTAATTCTTACCTTTGGGCGTGTCTTCGTTCAGGGGCTGGAAGGCGGCCATGTTGGGGTTCCACTTCCCTGTGATCACGTAGGCTTTTCCATCGGAGCTCTTCCCCATCGACTCCTGTTTTTTAAAAAAGAACACAATCATAACGACGAACTTTTACACTTGATTTCACTGCGGACAAACGTACTCGAATACCGTATTTTTTGGACTATAAGGCGCACCGGATTATAAGGAGCATTAAGCGAAAAACAAACGGACGACACTTGAGGCTGATCCTTACCCCGGGCGTTCACGATCCATCGGCAGATCGTGGCGTAATTCGCTCATAATCCTAATGTGTTTAATGCAGCTTTCCGCACATTTGTTTACATTTTACAGAAATGAAACTTAAAACCACATGGCTCATTTGCATAAACTATAAATGCTGAAAAAAACAGCTCGCTCCTTGTGCACTGATGCGGTTCAGCTTCCGTCGCACTAAAGGACATGACTTACTCCGTGAGGCTCGGTCACCTTAACTCTCCGACAATTCCTCGAGCGGTGTGGCTTTGTAGTTCACCAAAGTCGTACTAAAACATTTTGACAGATTTTTGAGCACCGTGTACCACATATAAACGCTTCGAGGTTTGTAAGCACAACCAGAATTAATACATATTGTTGATTTTTGAGAAAATTTTAGTATTTTAAGTGAGCCTTATAGTCATGACATCATGATGCTGGGGGTGTTCTGCATATGTGTGTATAGCGGAAATGCTCAGCAGTTACCATGGAGGCACAATGCTCACATTTGCAAACAATGACATGTAAATTTGATATAGATCATATAGACATATAGATCGTCTGAAAACTCAAGACATTTTCATGAGCCGGTGATCAGTCCGAGTGTTCGTGGTCCTGTTTTCAAAAAGATGAAAAACTGACGCCTAAAGCCTAAATATCTTGAGTAATATTATCTGAGCGGGATTTTTTTAACAGCATAAATCAGTTCACCTGTTGTATTTCTAACCAAGTCCGTTATTTATGGTCAGACTAAAATAAAAGTATCACATCATATATATATATATATATATATATATATATATATATATATATATATATATATATATATATATATATATATATATATATAAGTTTCTCACCATTTCTAACAGACGCATGTCGCTGTTGCTGACTTTCTGTCCCGGACTCAGCAGCATCCCGAAACACCTGCAAGACAAAATAAAACACATTTACGCGAAACTCGAAAAATGACAACGCCCAAACGTGATTAAAGAAAACGTACTGCGCTTTTGTGTGCTCTAAAGTTCTAACCTCTGACACTCATGGATCAATCTGTTGTAATTCTGACATTTTAAATCACAATATTGATCTAAAACGACATAATAAAAGAAACAAATCCGAGCCGATGTCCAAGTAAAAACTGGAGAAGCTGAAAACGGGGGGTAAATAAACTGAAAATAAGCGATAAAAAATGACTCAAACATGAATCACTCCAACGTAAAACTTCAGGTAAGAGTCAGAGTAAATTGTGAAAACAGGTCTGCTTTAAAAAGTAAAACAACGCAGTTATCTTTTACTTATTTAAATGTCATTTCAGACCAGTGCGGGGTGAGATTTTCCAACTGTGCATATTAAATTTAACAAATATTTAAAACAAGTGCAAGAAGCGGCGAGTAAAATTCAAAACAAAATTACAGCTGAGAGATTAAGAGAATTGTTAATGGAGGATTTTTTTCTGAAAAGTTTTTTAAATTGTCAATGAAAGTTTAAAATAATTTATTCTGACTTACAGAGATTTGCAGCAGCCTTGTAATTATGAATGACCAAAAAAAAAGGAATGAAAATCTATCCAACTGTGGACTGTAGTGAGGCCAGGACTAAACATCAGCCAGGACTAGGAAAAACAAGGACTAACCTCTCCAGGACTTTTCTATTGGCTGTTTTCAATAAACCAAACTAAACCCTACATTTCTCGTGTAACTGACTTGCCAGGACTGCGCGGGGGATTACGTGGTTTTTGAACGGGACCAGGTTCCAGGACTTTAGAGGACTTTTTCAAAACTGGACTTCCAGGTCTGATTGTCCCTGGACTTTAGTCTGTTTTAGTCCTGGTTGACCAGGTCCCTGATTCAGTCCTGGATTCAGTCCTGGTTTGTCCTGGTTCAGTCCTGGTTCAGTCCTTGATTTAGTCCTGGTTTAGTCCTGGTTCCTGGTTTAGTCCTGTTCCAGTCCTGATTTCAGTCCAGTCCTGGTTGTCCTGGTTCAGTCCTGGTTCAGTCTTGATTTAGTCCTGGTTTAGTCCTGGTTTAGTCCTGTTTTAGTCCTGGTTCAGTCCTGATTCAGTCCTGATTCAGTCCTGGTTTAGTCCTGGTTCAGTCCTGGTTCAGTCTTGATTTAGTCCTGGTTTAGTCCTGTTTAGTCCTGGTTCAGTCCTGATTCAGTCCTGATTCAGTCCTGGTTTAGTCCTGGTTCAGTCCTGGTTCAGTCTTGATTTAGTCCTGGTTTAGTCCTGGTTCAGTCCTGAGTTTAGTCCTGGTTTAGTCCTGTTTTAGTCCTGATTCAGTCCTGGTTTAGTCCTGGTTCAGTCCTGGTTTAGTTTTTCCATTTTTCATTTAAACACAAAATTGAAAACTAAAAAAAACAAATCATTATCTGTTTTTTCATTTTGGATTTGGAGACAAATAATGAAGAAACTATTAGTTTTTTTTGTTTTCTTATTTTCGTTTTTATTTTGAAAAACAAATGAAACAAACTCGAAACTGGAAGGGGAGTATTTTAATTCCAAACAATTAATTTGGAATTAAAAAAACACCATAATGAAGAGCTTGTCCCCGTGGAGATGTTACTGATCTGTCTGTAATGTTCCAAAGTGTGGCATTAACTGTATTTTTCTCGCATTTATTCAATTACGAACATTTTCCTGCTCAAAAATACGTCAACAAACATGTATTTTAACTGTGAGCGGGGTCGCCTCTCCACAGATCTGACCTGTAACCTGGCCTGGTGGTTCTCGTTTCCACGGAGACAGATTTTACGCCATATGTCGGAACATTTCAGACAAAGTAACGGCAAAAACCCTCCACCAGAAAACGTCGTTAAAAATAAAACTGTACTGTAAAAAAAAAAAATAAAAAATCGTGGTTATTTTGGTTTTCTTCTGCGCTTTGTGTTTGACTCATTAACACTTGAAAACACTTCTGTTCATGTCACTTTCGGAGTCACTTATTAAGCAGAAAACCTGGAAATTACTTTTTGAACATTATTCACACTGCCAGAACTGTGTCATTTCGATATTTATTTTATTATTTTTTAAAAGCGCGGAGCCACATGAGGCCGGTGGGAGCGTTTATTCAGCTGAAACTCGTGACAGCTTCGGGCCGTTTGTCACCCGAGTTCAGACGCTTTTCGAGGTTTTCTCCGAGCTCCGCAAAGAAAAGGAGAGGAGAAGTCGTTTTTAAGAGTCGACCGTGGGGGCTTTTTGTGTCAGAGCGGAGGCGCCCCCTGCTGCTCGCTGAGGGAACGGCAGGCTGACAGTGAATTACGTAAGATTACATTTACTTCACAAAACTTGTCCTTGGGATTTTAAAGGCCCGTATTTTCTGATTTATTGTACGTTTTCTCAGACCTGGAGTTTCAATTCACACACATTTAACACTCAAACTCTGCAGATTTAGGCCGAGTTCTTCATGCTCCACTGTGTTTTTAAACTCCATGTTACAACCCCGCTCAGTGGAAAATGGTATAAATTAAGTCATGTTTAAATAACAGGAAAGCAAAAGTGTAAATTAATAAAACTTGTTAAAATATGTACATAAAATAACATAAACTAAGAAAGAAAATAACAGGATTAACATATAACGAGATTTGTGCCAAAAACAAGTCACGTAGGCTTATTAAAAAAAACGAGTGTCCCAAAAAAATAAAAATAAAAATCACATAAACCCAATCAAGTGATAAAATAAAAGACCACAAAACAGAACTAAACTAAACTAAACAATTGTCTCAACACAAACAAAAGTCAGACACGTTTTAGTACAAACAAACTGTGGGCCTGTTTACACGAGAACACTTGCGGGTAAAAACGACAAAATATTTTATGGGAAGTGTCTTTCGTTTAGACGGTGACGGCGTTTTCGGGGCTTAAAAACGTAAAAATCTGAAACCACCCTCCAGAGTGGAAAAGTTGAACACGCTCCGCCGTAGTGTTTCCGTTTACACTGCCCAAGACGCAAAACTCTGGTCAGATCTGCTCAGGTCACGTACATGTTTATGTCACAAACATCACCACCGAGCTGCCTGGCATGCATACACAATCAAATTCCACACACTTTTGCATCGCCGTATACACGCAGATTTCCTCACGAAAACGCTCGTCTAAACGCGGAATAAAAAGTGAAGACGCGACGCCACTTTTGCGTCTTCAGTTCGGATCGTCGCCATATAAACGTAGCCGAAGAAACAGAATAACAAACAGGATTACATATAACGAGATTTGTGCCAAAAAAGACGTAGGCTTATACAAAAACGAGTGACTAAACTAAGGGACACACAACAAAACTGAATCACAAGTGTCCCAAAGTAAAACCACATAAACCCGCAAACAGAATCGAGTGACAAAACAAGTGGACACAAAACAGAACTAAACTAAACTAACCAAGTGTCTCAACACAAACAAAGTCAGACACGTACGAGTACAAACAAACTGACTGAAGGGCTGTTTACACGAGAATGCCCATAGGTAAAAATGGTTAAAAAAATAATTTATCGGAAGTGCCTTTTGTTTAGACGGTGACGGCGTTTTTAGGGATTAAAAAGGAGGCGGTCAAATAATGAGTTTATAATGGAAGTCAATGGATAAACACATTTCTGAAGCACGCTCAGTGTCTACAAAACGTCTCACACTGCCAAAACAAGTCCCATCGGGATGAAACTCACATATGTCTAAAACCCTGTAAAAATACTCATCTGTGTGAAATTTCATAGCAATCGAACAACCACAGCCAACGTTATCATGATAAATGTACTTTCAGATACACATATTTCTATATAGACGCATATACAGGCCTCTTATTCAAATACCTCCTTAAAATATGTTTTTCACTCTAACTATTCAGACTTGGAGAGTTACTCATTACCAACTTATCCGATCCATTTTTGATGAAAAATAAAAAAAAAAAAAATCTGCCCTTGTTTCTAGGATCAAATGTTCACAAGTGGCTATTTTTCATATAGAGTCACAATAGAAGTGAGGGGGGGAGGGGCTAAGTTGGTCAATTTCATAAATATAATTTTTACTAAAATTCATTGGTTTGCTCCAGAAAAAGTCAATCTTGCACCAAAAATTATTTTCAGCTTGATTTTTAGAGCAGGGGTCAATTAATGAGTTTATAATGGAAGTCAATGGAAACACACATTTCCGAAACACACTACAAAACTTCTCACGTCAACAAAATTGGTCCAATTGGGATGAAATTCACATATGTCTAAAATGCTGTAAAAACACATCTCTGTGTGAATTTCCACGGCAACTGAACAACCACAGCCAAAGTCGTCGTAATAAATATACCTCCAGATACACATATTTCTATATAGACGCATATACAGGCCTCTTATTCAAATGCCCCCTTCAAATATTTTTTTCACTCTAATTACTCAGACTTGAAGAGCTACTCATTACCAACTTATCTGATCTATTTTTGGTGAAAAAGAGAAAAAAAAAAGTCCTTGTTTCTATATATAAATTTTTCAGAAGTGACTATTTTTCATAAAGAGCCACAATAGAAGTGAGGGAGGAGGGGCTAAATGTTGGTCAATTTTGGAAAAACATCATTTTAACTAAAATTCATTGATTTTACTCCAGAAAAATTAAAACATGCACCAAAAATTATTTTCAGCTTGATTTTTAGAGCAGGGGTCAAATAATAGAGTTTATAATGGAAGTCAATGGAAACACACATTTCCGAAACACGCTGAGTGAATATAAACCTTCTCACATCCCCAAAATTTGTCCAATCAGGATGAAATTCACATATGTCTAAAATGTTGTAAAAACACATCTCCGTGTGAATTTCCACGGCAATCGAACAACCGCGGCCAAAGCTGTCGTGATAAATGTTCCTTCAGATACACAAATTTAACAAGGCGGCGGGGTTAAAGGCGCATTTATCAAACTGCAGGTTGGATTCTCAGCAGATTCTGGTCCAAACAGAGGCGGGTTTGTGCTGACGGCGTGGATGTGAAAAGGACAGACGCTGCGCTGGAGGTGAGGGAGGTGAGGGAGGCGGGGGTGAGCGAGCGCAGGAGTGAACGTGACCCAGTTTAAAGGCGCCCCGCTGCCTCACGAATGAGAGACTGCACACGGCCTCCGCGGGGACGACCGTGAGGAAAAACACCTATGGACCATTACTGCAAACGCCGCACACACACACGCACCGGGCGGGTTACACTCATTTCACTGAACTTGGCCCGGTGGTGTCATTGTCTTGTTTCCATGGAGACAGATAAATTTTAGGCCACGTCGAACACTTCAGGCAAGGCAATCTTTAAGGACTGCCATTAAAAATAAAACTGGTTATTTTCTACTACATCCTGGTTATTTTCGTATTCGTAGACGACTCATTTCACTAAAAGGTAACGTTATACAAAACATCAAACTTAGTCCTGGTTTTTAAGGCCTATTCATACTTCATCAGAACATAAGACCTTTGTTCTTGTTCTTGAGGCGATAAGAACAAGAACAAAGTTTGTAGAAGCTCTGATGTTTTATACTTCACAAGATGTTCTGCTGCTGAATTGCCCCGCCCAATCGCTTTGCCCCGCCCCCCTCATTCTGTCCCCGCCCCCTTGCTCTGCCACGCCCCCCTCGCTCTGCCCCGCCCCCCCTACCTCTGCCCCGCATTTCTTTTAGTCCTCCAGCCTGACCACTCTTTTTTTTTTTTGGTGACCCGACTTTTGGATTTCGCAAACTTCTCACGGAAATTACGCTTAACTTTTCTACACCGAAATTTCATCCGAGCCTAAAATGTCCGTGATCTCCCTCCATGAATTTCTTGCCATTTGACGTCTCTATCGTCACTGAGCGTCGTGTCGTACAGATGTTTGTATTTTTTCATAATTTCCTCTAGCTGTGATTCAAAAACATCCACCCGGTGAGGAAGTAGATAAACCATGTCCTCACATAAATAACCAATCAGAGCAAAGACGTCGGACAGTGCTGCCGAACTGATGAACAAAGTTCTGCTCAGCTAAGGTGTCGAGAACAAGAACTGTCCAAAAGGGCCTGGGTCTGCACAGGTGAGTCTGGGTCTGTCTGCGCAGGCGAGTCTTGAGTCTTGGTCTGTCTGCACAGGCGAGTCTTGAGTCTTGAGTCTTGGTCTGTCTGCGCAGGTGAATATTGGTCTGTCTGCGCAGGCGAGTCTTGGTCTGTCTGTGCAGGTGAGTTTTGAGTCTTGGTCTGTCTGCGCAGGTGAGTCTGGGTCTGTCTGGGTCTGTCTGCGCAGGTGAGTCTTGGTCTGTCTGCGCAGGCGAGTCTTGGTCTGTCTGCGCAGGCGAGTCTTGAGTCTTGGTCTGTCTGCGCAGGCGAGTCTTGGTCTGTCTGCGCAGGTGAGTCTTGAGTCTTGGTCTGTCTGCGCAGGCGAGTCTGGTCTGTCTGCGCAGGTGAGTCTTGAGTCTTGTCTGTCTGCGCAGGCGAGTCTTGGTCTGTCTGCGCAGGTGAGTCTTGAGTCTTGGTCTGTCTGCGCAGGTGAGTCTTGGTCTGTCTGCGCAGGTGAGTCTGAGTCTTTGGTCTGTCTGCGCAGGTGAGTCTTGGTCTTGCTCTGTCTGCGCAGGCGAGTCTTGGTCTGTCTGCGCAGGTGAGTCTTGAGTCTTGGTCTGTCTGCGCAGGTGAGTCTTGAGTCTTGGTCTGTCTGCGCAGGTGAGTCTTGGTCTGTCTGCGCAGGTGAGTCTTGAGTCTTGGTCTGTCTGCGCAGGTGAGTCTTGGTCTCTGTCTGCGCAGGCAGTCTTGGTCTGTCTGCGCAGTGAGTCTTGAGTCTTGGTCTGTCTGCGCAGGTGAGTCTTGGTCTGGTCTGCGCGCAGGTGAGTCTTGAGTCTTGGTCTGTCTGCGCAGGCGAGTCTTGAGTCTTGGTCTGTCTGCGCAGGTGAGTCTTGAGTCTTGGTCTGTCTGCGCAGGTGAGTCTTGGTCTTGTCTGTCTGCGCAGGTGAGTCTTGGTCTGTCTGCGCAGCGAGTCTTGGTCTGTCTGCGCAGGCGAGTCTTGAGTCTTGGTCTGTCTGCGCAGGTGAGTCTTGGTCTGTCTGCGCAGGTGAGTCTTGAGTCTTGGTCTGTCTGCGCAGTGAGTCTTGGTCTGTCTGCGCAGGTGAGTCTTGAGTCTTGGTCTGTCTGCGCAGGTGAGTCTTGAGTCTTGGTCTGTCTGCGCAGGTGAGTCTTGAGTCTTGGTCTGTCTGCGCAGGTGAGTCTTGGTCTGTCTGCGCAGGTGAGTCTTGGTCTGTCTGCGCAGGTGAGTCTTGAGTCTTGGTCTGTCTGCGCAGGTGAGTCTTGGTCTGTCTGCGCAGGTGAGTCTTGAGTCTTGGTCTGTCTGCGCAGGCGAGTCTTGGTCTGTCTGCGCAGGTGAGTCTTGGTCTGTCTGCGCAGGTGAGTCTTGAGTCTTGGTCTGTCTGCGCAGGTGAGTCTTGGTCTGTCTGCGCAGGTGAGTCTTGGTCTGTCTGCGCAGGCGAGTCTTGGTCTGTCTGCGCAGGTGAGTCTTGAGTCTTGGTCTGTCTGCGCAGGTGAGTCTTTGGTCTGTCTGCGCAGGTGAGTCTTGAGTCTTAGTCTGTCTGCGCAGGCGAGTCTTGAGTCTTGTCTGTCTGCGAGGTGAGTCTTGGTCTGTCTGAGTCTTGGTCTGTCTGCGCAGGCGAGTCTTGAGTCTTGGTCTGTCTGCGCAGGCGAGTCTTGGTCTGTCTGCGCAGGTGAATCTGGGTCTGTCTACTAACGTGAGTGAAAATGGCCTTAGTCTCGTCTGGTTTGTTTACCTCTCGACGCCCAGCTCTTTGTTGGTCGTCTGCTGAACGGACACGATCACTTTCTTCTGGACGCTCTGACGCAGTTTGAAGTAGAACTTGTCACGATCTTTAGGCACCGAACTGAGGAGCAGAGAAAGACCAAAGTAACACACAAGGACTCGAACAACACAAGTACAAAGTAACAGGGAACATGTAAGAAGATTTTTGTGTTTCAAAGATGTGGATCAAAACCAGGACTAAACCAGAATTAAACCAAGACTAAACCAGGACTAAATCAGTAATAGGGATGATCTAGTAAGGACCATTTCATAAGATATTTGTCTGTCTGTTAAAGTCAGTCACAGGGTTGTCAAAAGTATCGAAATCAGACACTAATCGATACTAAAACTAGTATCAAAACTAGATCCTCATTTTTCACAAGTATCGATACTAAAAACGCCCAATTCAAAGGACAAAAAAAATGACCTTTCCTGAATGTCTTTAGAACGATCTTGAGGTGTATCAGAACAAGTATAAGAACACAGAGACAAGTATACACGCATGGACCTGGTTTAGACTGGTTTAGACCTGTTTTAGACCTGGTTTAGACCTGGTTTAGACCTGTTTTAGACCTGGTTTAGACCTGGTTTAGACCTGGTTTAGACCTGGTTTAGACCCATTTTCGACCTAGTTTAGACCCGGTTTAGACCTGTTTTAGACCTGTTTTAGACCCATTTTCGACCTGGTTTAGACCTGGTTTAGACCTGGTTTAGACCTGGCTTTGATCTGGCTATAACCTGGTTAAGACCTGGTTTAGACCCATCTTAGACCCATTTTAGACCCAGATTAGCTCAGGTTTCGACCTGGCTTTGACCTGGTTTCGACCCGGTTTCGACCCGTTTCGACCTGTTTTAGACCTGGTTTAGACCTGGTTTAGACCTGGTTTAGACCTGGTTTGGATCAGGTTTTAGACCTGGTTTCGACCAGGTTAAGACCCGGTTTCGACCTGGTTTAGTTCTAGTTTCGACCTGGTTTAGTTCTAGTTTAGACCTGGTTTAGTCCTAGTTTAGACCTGGTTTAGACCTGGTTTAGTCCTAGTTTAGACCTGGTTTAGACCTGGTTTAGACCTGGTTTAGACCTGGTTTAGACCTAGTTTAGACCTGGTTTAGACCTAGTTAAGACCCGGTTTCGACCTGGTTTAGACCTGGTTTAGTTTAGTTTAGACCTGGTTTAGTCCTAGTTTAGACCTGGTTTAGTCCTAGTTTAGACCTGGTTTAGACCTGGTTTAGACCTGGTTTAGACCTGGTTTAGTCCTAGTTTAGACCTGGTTTAGACCTGGTTTAGACCTAGTTTAGACCTGGTTTAGTCCTAGTTTTAGACCTGGTTTAGTCCTGTTTAGACCTGGTTTAGTCCTAGTTTAGACCTGGTTTAGACCTGGTTTAGACCTGGTTTAGACCTGGTTTAGACCTGGTTTAGACCTGGATCACTGAGGGGTCTAAATAAAATGTGTTTTTTATTTTCATCATGGTATCAGAATCAGTATCGAGTATCAAATCTGTTCCTGAGCATCAAAATCAAGTTTGAAATTTCAGAATCATGAAAATATAAAACAGTGTCAGTGTAAATTATTGAAGTTACGTCGTTATTTGAACCGTGAACTCGTGTGTCTTTAGCAGTGTTGTGCAAGTTCACACTTTTCATGAACTAGTTCAAAGTTCAGTTCATTTTATATTTAGATGAGATCTGTAAATGAAAGGCTGCATTTATTTTTCAAACTGACTTCTAGTTTACAACAACTTTACAAGATCCACTGTTGGACAAGTGACTTTAAAACTGTGAATGTTTTATTTATGACTTGTTACTGTCATTTCAGAGTCATTAGTTACATTACAATATGACTGTATTTAAAATGTAAAACATGACACGACTGTTGCAGCACTTTTAATTTAATCTCACCAAAAGAACTGTTAAGATGCTGAACTTTTGTGCCGTATATGGACTAAACCAGAACTAAACCAGAACTAAACCAGGTCTAAACCAGGACTAAACCAGGACTAAACCAGGTCTAAACCAGGTCTAAACCAGGACTAAACCAGGACTAAACCAGAACTGAACCAGGACTAAACCAGGACTAAACCAGGACTGAACCAGGTCCAAACCAGGACTAAACCAGGACTAAACCAGAACTGAACCAGGTCCAAACCAGGACTAAACCAGGACTGAACCAGAACTGAACCAGGTCTAAACCAGGACTAAACCAGAACTGAACCAGGTCTAAACCAGGACTAAACCAGGTCTAAACCAGGTCTAAACCAGGACTAAACCAGGTCTATACCAGAACTGAGCCAGGACTAAACCAGAGCTGAACCAGGTCTAAACCAGGACTAAACCAGAGCTGAACCAGGTCTAAACCAGGACTAAACCAGGACTGAACCAGGTCTAAACCAGGACTAAAACAGGTCTAAACCAGAACTGAACCAGGTCTAAACCAGGACTAAAACAGGTCTAAACCAGAACTGAACCAGGTCTAAACCAGGACTAAACCAGGTCTAAAACAGGACTAAAACAGGTCTAAACCAGAACTGAACCAGGTCTAAACCAGGACTAAACCAGGTCTAAAACAGGACTAAACCAGGTCTAAACCAGAATTGAACCAGGACTAAATCAGGACTAAACCAAGACTAAACCAGGACTAAACCAGGACTAATCCTGGACTAGAACTTGGAATCTAGGACCGCCCCTGAGTGAACCCGAGTGTGGTCGTGCGTCAGCTGCGTTTATCTCGGTGGAGCGTGGGCTTCTGCGTCGGTCCTTTGGCTCAGGATCACGGTTTACGCAGGTGAACCTCCCGTGTTTCACCGCTGCTGATATCGCGGTGATTTTAGCAAATTTGTATGAAGAAAAACGAAAAACCCACCATTTCAATCCAGGTTAAAAAAGCATTGTGACGCGCGTTACTGATATTTGTACCAAGTAAAATAATACGCGTGGAGCAGCACGTCCTGTGCGTGTAGATTTCAGAAAATAGGATCCATCCTATTTGTTGACGCTCTACACGAGCTTAGGCGCGTATCCCCGTCAAAATCCAGAGCATGTATCTATTGTTGTATTTGTGCGTTTACCATCAGCACATTGTCTCCCTGGGCAGTTGTGGATCATGTGAAAGAGCCCAGATCCACATACACTGTTCATTTGTGCTTTGAAATGTACTTTTGAAATCCTTGCGTTTGCCGTGGTCAGACTGTACAGAAGGTAAATACAAGCAGCTAAACGCGCCCAGTCAAGTTTGATTGACTTTCCCATTGAGAGACACAAGAGCCGTACGTTCCACTAAAGCTGCCGGTGGAGTCGCCTTCGCGTTGACACGCGGCTGTGGTTTCGCGAGGTGAAGTTCGAGCAGATCGACACTCGTCAGGTGAAAACAAATTCCGACGTTTAACTGAACCCCAACAGTGACGTACGTCGTTCATCACACATAATTTGAACAAATTCACGTTCAAGTTCTTGATTTACAAAAGTGTTGCGTTCAGTTCAAAGTTCACTGAAAAATGAACGTGTTCTTTTGAACTCGTTCATGCACTGGTCACACTGGTCTTTAGTACCTGTAGTTTCCTTTCCCGTCGTCCTCCTTGATGTCCAGAGTCACGGTGAAGTGGTACAGGTCGCTGTCAGAGGGGGCGCTGTGGGGCTGGTCCACCGAGTCCGCGGGTTTAGACGAACGCCGGAAAGCCGTGGAGAAACTGTACAAGATCCGACTGACCTGAACGGAAAAAACAAAAAACAAAAAAACAGAAATATAATCACAGTTTTCCATTTCTGTAGCGCACAAAAGCCTAGAAACATCACTATTCTGACAGATTTTAAAGGTGTATTGTGTAACTTTTCTGGTGCAGGGTCCATGGAGATGTTATTGTTTGGTCTGGAATGTTTCGCACTGCGGCATTAAACATTTCTACTCTAAACTAGGTCAAGTTCCAGGTCAGATCTGTGGAGAGGCGACCCCCGCTCACAGTCAGAATGTGTGTTTTTCTAGGTGTTTTTGAGATTTGTTTAAAGTCACACTGCGGAACATTACGGGTAAAGCGATGACCACGTTTTGGAAAAAAGAAAAAAGACCATGAACGCTCGGACTGATCACAGGCTCCTGATATTGTTGCCCTTTAAATCCATTTTTTTTATTTTTTCGTGAGTTTTCAGACAGAACTAAACCAGGACTAAACCAGGACTGAACCAGGACTAAACCAGGACTGAACCAGGACTAAACCAGGACTAAACCAGGACTAAACCAGGACTGAAACAGGACTAAACCAGGACTGAACCAGGACTAAACCAGGACTAAACTAGGACTAACCAACAGGACTAAACCAGGACTAAACCAGGACTAAAACCAGGACTAAACCCGGACTAAACCAGGACTAAACCAGGACTAAACCCAGACTAAAACCGGACTAAAACCGGACTAAACCCAGACTAAACTAGGACTGAACCAGGACTGAACCCGGACTAAACCCGGAATAAACCAGGACTAAAACAAGACTAAACCAGGACTAAACCACAACTGAACCAGGACAAAACCAAGACTAAACCCAGACTAAACCCGGACTAAACCAGGACTAAACCAGGACTAAACCAGGACTGAAACAGAACTGAACCAGAACTGAACCAGAACTGAACCAGAACTGAACCAGGACTAAACCAGGACTAAACCAGGACTGAACAAGGACTGAACCAGGACTGAACCAGGACTGAACCAGGACTGAACCAGGACTGAACCATAACTGAACCAGGACTAAACCCGGACTAAACCAGGAATAAATCTGGACAAAACCCGAACTAAACCATAACTAAATCAGAATTAAACTAGGACTAAACCAAGACAGAACCAGGACTAAACCCAGACTAAACCCAGACTAAACCCGGACTAAAACCGGACTAAAACCGGACTAAACTAGGACTAAACCAAGACTAAACCCGGACTAAACCAGGACTGAACCAGGACTAAACCAGAACAATTAACTCAGAATCACAAATCCACCCTGTAAACGTGGACGGTGTGTTTACTAATGCGCTCCTCGTGTCACCATGGCAACTCCTGAAACACACAGAATACACAGAAACCCATGTAGAACACCCCCAGCGCGATGTTTTCAAACACTAGCCTCATTATTATTCACATTACACGCCCACACGCCCACACGCCCGCAGACCCGCAGACCCGCGCCGCTTAACCTGGAAATATAATTAATTACACACAATAAGATCTTTTAATCCTGTTACAAAGACGAGAGCAGAGCAGGTTTACTGACTCAAAGAACAACGGCGCCATCTGCTGTTTGTCTCCTGTAAGTTCATACTGATGTGTTAAATGGTCTTTGTTTAGGTTGAACAAAGAGGAAACAAATAAATAAATGAATCAGCCAATCAATCAATCAATAAATAGTTGGAGATTTTCTGGCGAGCACTGACTGCAGCAGAGGTGAGATTTGGATTTTTTTTGTTTTAAAAATTCCAAATCTCACAGCATCTTTGATTTTACAGGAGAAAACGTGGATCTAAACCAGGACTAAAACAGGACTAAATATGGACTAAACAAGGACTAAACCAGGATTAAACTAGGACTAAACCAGGACTAAGACAGGAGTAGGCCAGGACTAAATCAGGACTGAACCAGGACTAAACAAGGACTAAACCAGGACTAAACCAGGACTAAATCAGGACTAAACCAGGACTAAATCAGGACTAAACCAGTACTAAACCAGGACTAAGACAGGAGTAGGCCAGGACTAAATCAGGACTAACTTAGGACTGAACCAGGACTGAACCAGGGCTAAACAAGGACTAAACCAGGACTAAATCAGGACTAAACAGGACTAAACAGGACTCAGGACTGAACCAGGACTAAACAGGACTAAACCAGGACTAAACCAGGACTAACTCAGGACTGAACCAGGACTAAACAAGGACTAAACCAGGACTAAATCAGGACTAAACCAGGACTAAATCAGGACTAAACCAGGACTAAACCAGACTAAACCAGGACTAAATCAAGACTAACTCAGGACTGAACCAGGGCTAAACAAGGACTAAACAAGGACTAAACCAGGACTAAATCAGGACTAAACCAGGACTAAATCAGGACTAAACCAGGACTAAACCAGGACTAAATCAAGACTAACTCAGGACTAACTCAGGACTGAACCAGGGCTAAACAAGGACTAAACAAGGACTAAACCAGGACTAAAACAGGACTAAAACAGAACTAAGACAGGACTAAGCTAGGACTAAATCAGAATTTAACTAGGACTAAACCAAGACTAAACCAGGACTAAAACCAGGACTAAACCCGGACTACAGCAGGACTACAAGGACTAAACCCGGACTAAACCTGGACTAAACCCGGACTTACAGCCTCCTTGATTTGGCAGGAGAACACGTGGATCTGGAAGTCCTCTGAGCTCCTGTAGCTCTCGGTGAAGGAGAAGCAGTCGCTCTCCACGGCGCCCTCTTTCCCCCGGGCGCAGAACAGCACTTTGTAGATGGGGAAGGAGGCGATTTCTGTGCCCGACGCCTGCTCCACGATCCTACAAAAAACACCACAGGTTACCGGGTCAGATCTGCGGAGAGGCCGCCCCGCTCACAGTCAGAAGCCATGGGTTTTTTTTAGGTTTTTTTTTAGCTTTAAAACCACCTGTGATTGAATAAACGTAAAGTAGAGCTGTTTAAAGTCACACTGCGGGACATTTCAGGCAGAGCAACGACGTCTCCGTAGAAACAAGCAGAAAAATTAGACAGTAAACTCCTCAAAATCAAAAATATATCGTTTTTGTCACAGTCAGTGTTGGGGAGTAACAGATTACATGTACCGGAGTAATCAGAGTACAAATGATGAGTAACTGTATTCAGTTACAGTTACTGTTTCAGTGAGTGGGAATTGGATTACAGTTACTTTGTTGAAAAAATGGATTAAACAGAGGGATTTTACTGTTTTCACATTTTGGGCTAAACCAGGACTAAACCAGGACTAAACCAGGTCTAAACCAGGACTAAACCAGGACTAAAACCAGGTCTAAACTAAACCAGGACTAAACCAGGACTAAAACAGGACTAAACCAGGACTAAACCTAAAACCAGGACTAAAACTAAAACCAGGACTAAAACCAGGTCTAAACCAGGACTAAACCAGGACTAAAACCAGGACTAAAACCAGGTCTAAAACCAGGTCTAAACCAGGACTAAACCAGGACTAAAACCAGGTCTAAACCAGGTCTAAAACCAGGTCTAAACCAGGACTAAAACCAGGTCTAAACCAGGACTAAAAACCAGGTCTAAACCAGGACTAAAACCAGGACTAAACCAGGACTAAACCAGGACTTAAACCAGGTCTAAACCAGGTCTAAACCAGGACTAAAACAGGACTAAAACAGGACTAAAACCAGGACTAAAACCAGGACTAAACCAGGACTAAAACCAGGTCTAAACCAGGTCTAAACCAGGACTAAAACCAGGTCTAAAACAGGTCTAAAACCAGGTCTAAACCAGGTCCAAACCAGGACTAAAACCAACATGATGTTTTTTAATTCCGAATTAAATAGTTTGGAATTAAAATATTCTCCTTTGAGTTTAAACTAAAATAATAAATCCAAAATGAGGTTCACACGGAAAACTCGTTAAATCGTCTTTATTTACCGTATTTCCCGCACTATAGGGCGCACTTAAAAACCTTTAATTTCATCAAAAAACAAGTGCATGCGTTATAATCCAGAGCGTTTTATATATGAATTTATTGGGGCGTGTTAGAGACGTGGAGGAAAGTCTGAAGCCAGGACTGGTGGAGCCGGATCGAAGGGCGACGCAACGAGCACGAACTGAACGACCGGGATTATTTTTAAGAAGAATAAACGTTTACATGATCCAGGAATGAATTAAAACGGCTTTAAAATCGAAATAAACCACCCATTTACTTCGGAATTAAGTTTAATTCCTAATAATCATTTTCATGTTTCAAGTGTTTACACGGTCTTTTTAAAACGGAATTAATTTTTATTCAGAATTAAATTATTTTTATTCAGAATTAAATCATGTAAACGTGGCAATTGTGTCTCCAGATATAAGGTTATTTACTGGTAAATATTGTAATTCTGATTTATTCTTAAATCACAAAAACATTGGACATGAAGCCGAGTTGTTTATGTAATAATTTGGTGTTTTGGTTCAAGATGATTCTCCAATCAGAAAGCAGAATGAGCGTCACGTGACCAGTTTCAGTGCTCAAATCTTAAAAAGGACTCTCGCAACCTGGTTTAGTCCTAGATTAGACCTGGTTGATGATATCAGCTTTAAAGTATCAATAAAATGGAAAAAGATGATGGCTAAAAGTAAAAACTAAAGCTGTTTTTTGAGCAAACTCGTGTTCCTTTGACAAACGAGTCTCACGCCACAAAACCACCGTGACTCTACAGTTTATCACACACAAGCAGCACTTCCTTTGTGAACTTCCACTGTCACTTCTGTTCAACTAAACACCGAGACGTAAAAAGACACAGCTTATTTAAAGATGCATTATGTCACTTTTTGGAGGTTCATTTACATATTTACATCTTTACAGACGAGTGGGAAAAACGCCCAGATCAGTTTCCCGTTTCCTTTGTGTTTATTTTGTTCAAATAAATCATTATTGCGTCTAAGTTTTGAGGTTACTGAAAGACTGAAGGGCCGTTCACACCAAAGCCTCAAAAAACGCCTGGACGTCTCTATGTGGAGCCTTTGCATTTGAGTTTAGACGCCCCCGACGAGCGTCTTTGACGCCGTGGACGAACGGGAGAAAAATACTTGACGCGCGTCCGTTGCCCTGGAAACAAGAGCCCGGTCCCGGTCTTTTCCCGAAACGATGTCAGACCAGACTGAGAGACTTTAGTGTTTTTATGACATAAAACATCAGCGGAGGAAATCGACTCGACGACTGGGACGGATATACAGTATATTTATACTCCGCTAATGACACTGAATCAGTCCTAGTCTAGTCCCGGTCTAGTCCCGGTCTGGTCCCGGTCTGGTCCCGGTCTGGTCCCGGTCTGGTCCCAGGTCCTAGGTCTGGTCCCCGGTCTAATCACCCGGTTTAGTCTCTGTCTTGTCCCGGTCTAGTCCTCTGGTCCCGGTAGTCCTGAGTCCCGGTCTAGTCCTGGTCTAGTCCTCTTGATCCCCTCGGTGATTGTGGTGTATATATTTATTCTCCGTTCATGTTTGTGTTTCTCTCTCTGGTTTTTCTTCCTGATAATAACGTCATTAGGTCACTGGATACTCGTCCCTGATTGGTTGACACGGTGCATCTGACGCGAAAAGTTCAGCATTTTCAACTTCTGACGCTGAGGTCTTGGACACGTGTCTAGAGCGTCGACGCCAAAACGCTCAAGACACGCTGACGCCGAAGACGCGCCGCAAAAACGCAGGACGCTCTAGTCGCGCGTCCACATCGACTTTACATTGAAACTGGACGCTCTGACGCTTTGATGTGAACGGCCCTTAATGTCCTGGTTCCTGTGAGACCCAGACCTGAGCCTGTACTCGACAGGTGCGAGCCTGTACCTGACTGATCCGTTGGGGCCGCAGGGCACGTGCAGGGTGACGGGGATGGGCACGGCGCTCTCCGCCCTCAGCGTGGCCATGGCCCTCAGAGCCTCGGCCTCGTTCCGCGGAGCTTTGACCCAAGTGCAGCCCAGATACAAGAGTTTATTAAACTGCACGCTGTCCTCTTCTGGGACGGCAGGGACCGGGGCAGGGGCAGGTGCCGGTGCCGGGGCAGGAGTCGTGGCTGGGGCAGGTGCTGGGGCAGGTGCAGGGGCAGGTGCAGGGCAGGCAGGTGCAGAGGCAGGTGCCGGGTCTGTGGAAGAGAGGACAGGTTAAAACAACAGTTTTAAGCATAGACAGTACACATGAGTGGACACAGCAAACACTCTGGACGCCGTCTGTCAAATAAGAAGTTCTGCAGGACGTTCTTCCAGCTCCTTCTGACCCTGGCTCCAGTTGACTTACATTTTGTCGCCCCTCTCTTTGTAACTCAGGGGTCTATATATAACCTTTTTCTCCAGTGAGTTTCCTTTACAAAACAAAAATGCCAGAGAGCTGCCGATTTCAGCAGTTGTAAAGAAACTGAGTAAATATAAGAGTCACGATGAGCTTTAGACAGGGAACAGTTAGATGCTTAAAAAACATAAACCACTGTCCATTTATCAGTGCATGAAGTTGAAATGATACATTTACACTGGTAATAAATCAAATTTTACTTATTATCCACAATACATAGAATTCTGAAATCCCTTGGTGAGTTCCTTGGAAGGGGGTGGAGAGATACAGGTTGAGCCTCGTCATTTTGGTTTTATTTTTATTTATTTTATTGATACAGGGACAGCGCACAAATGTTTTTACATGAACCTTAATAGGAGAGATGCATTGTACCAGTAGTAGTCGTCCCTGGGCAGGTTCATTGATTGTGTTTAATTGACTTTAGCGCCCAGACGAACCTCACCCAGACACGGGAGAAACATGCAAACTCCACACAGAAAGGCCTGCGAGACCCGGGGATTGAACCTGGAACCTTCTTGCTGTGAGGCATAAGTGCTAGCCACCGTGCCACCCTTAAAATATTCATATTAACCCGCTCTACATCATCCTGAAAATTTTTTTTTTTTTTTCGCTATTTTGTCCATCAGAAAAATCCTATTCATAACACAGAGACTGGCTCCAGATTCGCTGCTGTAACCGTTTCGTTTGAGCTTCATTTGGAAAAAGGATTAAAACTTAAAACATAACAGACTCCAGACACTCCATAGACGTAAAAATCGCACAAGGGGGCGATGGGTCTTCACTGAGCCCTGATGAAGACCAGTTGGGGCGAAACATGTTGCTTTTGACCATCTAAATAAAGGCCTTTTCACTATATTTTTCCTCGTGCGATTTTTACTTCTTTGGACTTTCCTTCTCAAAGCACAACACAAAGTCATTCACCTTCTCATGGTGAAGGCAGACAGTTCTGAAGCCACAGCTGCCCTGACTCAAGTGTGGCTGCTGATCTGCGACACAGGTCCTTTAAACCAGGGGTCCAAACTTTGGCGCTCTGACCAAATTTCCAATGAGTAAAAGTGAGTAAAATGAGTCAGACTAAACTAAACTGCGACCAAAATCAGAGCATTTAACCCAAAGCCCAGAATGAGAAACACACAGAGGATGTTTCTGATGCTTTTCTGGTGTGACATTTAACCTCTCCGTTTCACACTTGACCAACAGGAAGTAGAACAATGAGGCACTTCCACTGCTGAGTCGCTCTCTCCACTTCCCCGTGTTCAGTCAGCACAAACACAGAGCGCAAACCACGGCCCAAACCTCCGACTGAACCTGCGGATTTAAAGGTCCTACATGACCCAGTATCGACTCCTGCAAATTATTTATGCCAATTTATAATGTTCCTCCTCAAAAACAAACCTGGAGTTGTGTTTTTGTTTCATTCACACACGTTTGAGTACCGTATATTCCGCACTATAGGGTGCACTTAAAAGCCTTTAATTTCATCAAAAACGAGTGCGCGCTTTATAATCCAGAGCACCTTATATATGAATTTATTGAGGTGTCTTAGTACTACAAAGCCGCTCCGCTTGCAGCATTGTGTACATATGTGTGTACGTGTGTGTACATGTATATGTAAGTGGGTCTGGTCAAATGGTAACAGAGGGAAACAGGGGCAGATTTTTGACATTCAAATGTCTCTTATTCAGAAACTAGAGGAACTATTGAAATAAGTAAAGTATCAGAATGTAGGAAAGAGTTACACTCCAACAGGGTCAAGTTAAACCTGTCATATTCTTTCAAGTTCAAGACAAACATTTTTTAAAAACTCATGTCGGTAACGGAGGGAATGAAATATGCAGCACTTTTTGGTCAATAAAATCCAAACAGTGATAACTCTTGGTTCTCACTTACATATCCTTAACAAACTGGTTTGAATATTTGCTTCATATAGTTTTCTAACCATATGGTACAAGATTAGGTTGAAAAACCTCTTACTTTTTGATTCATGAGATTTTTTATTAAGAAAGGTCATGGTAACGGAGGGAAAAGTAACAGAGGGAGAATTGTACAAACAAGTAGAAGGTGCAGGATTTTACATCATTTGTCGCTTTTTTCTTCTGAATACTTTAATATTACTTCAAAATGAAAGGAAACTATTTCTATTTCTAAAATATGTGAGTCCTTCCAAGCAACATTTTTTTTATTTTAAATACATTTTTTTGGAAAAATCATGTACCTTCATCAACAGTTCAAAGATGGAATAACACAAGATATGATGAAATACATCCATTTATTTACATGATTTTCAGGTCTTTGAAATTTGGGAAATAATTTTTGTTCCATGTTTCATACATGGTCTGTTTAAAACGGATGGAACTTTAGAACCAAAAATGGTACAGAAAAAAGGTCAACAGTTTCATAAACTAGAGTACATATGTATCTGTTCAATACATTTTTATATCAGATGATAAATACGTGAGGTTACGCACTGTGTTTGACCACTATCGTGTTTCTTGCCTCTGACCAAAATATTTCCCAGGATGCAACGCGGCCTTTTAATAACAAAGACGTCAGCTGAAACGCACCTATAGACCATTCAATGACAGTGCGCCTTATAATCCAGAGCGCCCTATAGTGCGGAATATACGGTAAAATGTAATTATTATTAGTCTGTCTACATCTCCAAAATAATTCTAGTGAAGGTCTATGGAGTTTGTAATAGTGTTTTCAGTTTGAGAGAAGAACTCAGCCAAAATCTGCAGGGTTTGTGTGTTAAACATGTGTGAACGAAGCAAAACCAAACTCAGAAACATTGTAATATTTGCTAAATACGACTATTACAAAATGTACAGAACATCTTGAAAAGCTGAGGCGGCGCCACGGGGATCAGTGAAAGGTGGAGCGCTTCTCGTTCCTCTGACACTTCCCATTTTAGAAAACCGACCGACTGAAATAGAGCCACGAGAGCAGAAGTCGTAGTACACGCTATGACTCAAACATTTTCACGGAAACAACACACACACACCAAAAAACACACACACACACACTTCTCATAAGGACTGTACTGATTCAGCCTTTTCTTCACATTCTAGAGCAGGAGTGTTGAACTAAAATTTAAGGAGGTCTGGTTAGAAAAAATCTCGTCAAGCAGAGGTCCAGGACACACAGTAGGACTACATTATATCTAGGGCTGCAGTTTAAAATAAATTTGAGAAAATAAATAAAAAGGCTAAATTGTACATCTTAAAACCAAGTGTTTACTTTCATATCTCAAATCTTCTTTCCTCTGTCTGTGTCTGTGTTCAGAGTTGCGATCGTCTTGAATGCACGGATTTGATCGGCTCAGCAGCGTCACGATCGGTTTGTTTGTTCCTCGGTCCATTAATACAGCGGTGTAAAGTTTAGAGTCTAAATCAGGGGAGCTCAATACGTCGATCGCGATCTACCAGTCGATCGCCGTGTCTCGTCTCGGACTCGCGTTTGGACTCGGTCTTGTCTCTCACTCGAGGTCTGACACTCGACAAGTGTGATCATATTTCATTCCGGCCGCTGCTGTTGGTAATAAACTTGTAGCGGGTGCAGGAGCGTGTGGGGCGTCTCAGTGCAGCCTGTGCGCTCATTTGAAACCCGCGGAGACTCTACGGCGCATCACAAACACACACGCTCCCTATGCACGGCTCGTCTGCGACAGCGTGTGCCCTCGTGTACCAGCGTGCATCACAGGGCAGGTTCAACTTCCTAAACATCCTACCTGTCCATCTGCCTCACGTCAGCACGCCGCCCCTCGCCTTTTCACGCTCTCGCTCCTTCCTGCGTACAGCCAACACAAGCCCCTCCCACAGTGCGGCTGATTAGAAGAGCAAGACCAAACGTGAAGCAAAAACCAGTCTAAATTTGTGTTCCAGTGTTGGCACAAAGCAGGTCTACAGCATAGAGCGGATCTACAGAACAGACCTACTGCCACATTTGGCTGAAGTTTGTCTAACAAAAGTGACAAATGCATCTGTGTTTGTCACGATGTGCGTTTGGTTTGGTAAACGTGCAGAGGCTGGTAAATATCACTGCAAAACCAGAAAAGAATGAAACTCCAGTTTGAAACTTTAAAAAACAGGTTTAAAAATCTTCCTTCACTTTTTTCACAGTTTTGTGTAAAGTGCCAGAGGAAGTTCTCTTAAAGAAGAGGTTCTCAAACTGTGGGGGAGGGTCCAAAAAAGGGGCACAGAGTGTTTCAGTGCAGTTTGTTTGACTTTGTATGAGGTAGATCATTTTGACTTGGTCATTTTATAAGTAGCTCGCATGATGAAAAAGTGTGAACACCCCTGGTTTAAACTGAACAGGCCTTATACAACTGATTCAACTTATAAAATGAACTGCATTTAGCCTCATGTGAAAAATGCTAAAGTCGGACTAGATCCAAACTCGAGTCCTGAACCAGCTCTGGTTCAGGCCGGGCTCAGAGGAGCTGAAGCGGGCAGTGGTGTGCGGAGGATGGACCACTCAGAACAACATATAACAAACCAAACCAGACTCACGGTTCTGTCCGGATGATTTGCATCACCTCGGAACCAGCCACAGTCCTCGAGCACAGAGGACAGGAGCAGCCCGTCCGGACCTGTAGTCACTTTCCCCACACGGAACCAGCGCACAGACGACAGCACGGAACCGCTCAGACCCAGTCCACTGAGCACCAGTCTCGCTCGCCCCCGTCTGGAACCAGGACATGGAGGACAGAGCTTCCAGACCAGCTGACCAACGCGCTCCGGCGATGGCACAAGACCCAAGGACCCAAACCTCAATTTCGTCTTGAGCTACAGTGAG